TGGTTGATTAATTTTAAAGTTTAAGTTCTTGCGGTTGAAGTTGCTGCTGTTTGATTTAAATCCTCCCTGTGTGTACACCAGTGGTACTGGTTGCATTGTTGCTTACAGTTTCTTGATCCTCGGTGCTTGACTGCCTATTTGACTCCTGGGTTTTAGTGCTTAAATTGTTTTTCGAATCCTGAACTGTGGTTGCTGGAATTGCCAATTTCTGTGGTCAATTGCTAATTTTAGCAGGTTAAATTGGGTAATTAACTGTCCAATTGGAGACAGTTGTTACGGTCTTGGGTCCATTTGTGTCTAAATTGTATAATTTGTGTCGAGTTGTGGGTAATTTGCTGCGGCTGTTGGTTAAATTAAGAGGTGCCTGTTACGCTTAAATTTGCTTATTGAAGTGGTTACCTCTAATTGCCTTGCTCAGGAGCATTTTATCCTTTTGGTTTCCTTTACTAAGCTCTTTGGAACACTTGTTGCATTTTGGACTGTCTCGATTCTGAATTTGACTACGTTTGGGCCATAGGTGCTCATTGATTGCAATTGTATTAGTGTTGGAGTATTCGTATAACCTGTGGGTGATTGAATTGTGCATTTTATTCGTTGGGTTGGCTTTGAAATTGTTAATGCTTTGAATTTCCGGCATCCATTATTTGTTGGCAATTGTAGTCTCTTGTTGCTTAGAGTGATACCTAGAGTCCATGGTGAAGCCACGAATGGCACCAGCTCCAGATGCGAGTTGATCCTCAATTTTCACCTGAACCGCCCCTATTTTGATGACTTCAGGGAAGTACCGTTGCCCCTCTCTTTTCTTCTGTTTTTACATTATCACATTGAGGGCAATGTGAGATTTAGGTGTGGGGGGGTCAGTTTTGGGTGCTAGTATTTCCAATTTTCGATTTTTTTTAGGTGTTTTTCCTTTGTTTTAAGTCTGATATTTATCTCCTTTTCATTTATTTTCTTTTCTTTTCTTTTCCTAGTGGTCAGTTTTTTATTTGAATACCAAGTTTGATGTTGGATTGTTGTCTCTAATTCTGCTATTGCTAAGTGTTATTAACAAAAGGGTATTATGTTAATGTGGTTGAGTTCAGGAATATCTCTTTGGTGAATAGCAATAATTGCTTAACTTTTCCAATTTTTGGTTAACTTTTCTAGGCATAGGGAATGATTGTTGGCATTTTTTATGTGAATTGGTCCAATTATTAATTTTAGTTCTCCATGTTTGGAAATTTGAGGCTGGCTGCTGTTATTTTTGTGATATTTTCTAGTTATTGTGGTATGTTATCATAAATAAGAGGTGACTGTACTCCACTAGTTGTTACTACTGAGTAACCGGGGATCTTCACCTAAAGTGTCGATTCTCGCGTCAAAAGGTAGTAGTTACTATGAGTGCGTGGTCCCGTAGCAATTAGAGCTGAGTAACAGGGCTCCTCCATCTGTCAAATGTTGGAGTTCGCGTCAAAAGGCTCTAAGGGCTATAGACTAAATCTTTTGTTACTCAAAAAAAAAAAGAAAAAAAGAAAAGAAAAGAAAAAAAGAAACAAAAAAAAAGGGAAAAAATAAAATAAAGATTGTGTTAGTATGTGAATAAGTCAGCTTGCCAGATTGTGATCTTAATGTCGAGATTTTGGTTAATAGTTGGACCATTTGCTGATAAATGTGAGCAACCATTCCTTTTTCTTAGATTAGTTTGCTTTAAATTGGAGGAGTTGGTGGTTGAGAAGCTAACCGGAGTGGTTTTTCTTGGATCTTAACTGTGATGCTTGATATATGTTTTTCTGGGTATCTTGGCAATATGATAGTTAGAGCAATAGCCATTGTCAAATTTTGGTGTTCAATTGCTGTTCTTATGCTTGAGGGCAAGCATGATTTAGGTGTGGGGGGAATTGATAGGGTGTTAATTGTTGGTTATTTTATTGTTAATTTTCCCCTTTATCCTTGCCAAATATTGTTTTAATTATTAATATCTACTTATATTTGGTATTGGATTCAATTTCAGGAAGTGAAACAGAAAACTACAAAAATGAGGGACTTTTTGGAGATAATTGGGATTTCAAACAACCGGGCCCACATGGTGCTACAAAGAGATTGCATTTCCTTTGCTGATTAGGAGATTGGAGTCCTACGAGCAATAGGAAACTAAAAGCAAGGAATTCGGTAGAGCCCCACTTTTGGTTTGATTCTCAATTTCAGCAGGGGACCACAGGGATAAGAAGCTTTAGTCATTGTTGGCTTTAAAAAGGAGACAAACGTACAGAGAACTCTTATCAATCAATAGTTTTAGTTTAGGCTTTTAGCATAGTTTTAGTTTTTCTTCTCTTAGCTCTTTCGCATGGTTGTTCTCCATTAATGGAGGACTAACCTCTTAATTCTAGTCAAGGGGACAACTGAAGACTTGGTTCAACAATTACTGTGAGATCGAAATTATTTTAATCGCTTCCTCATTTATTGGTATTTATGTGTTTCCTGTTTTTAATTGTTATAGTCCTTATGTATGATTGATTAGTGCGCAATAATTAATTATTTATATAGGCTATTTTGCTAAATAGAGGTAATTGAATCCGTAATTGTTCGTTATCTCTATCTTAGTAGCAACTGGCGTAATTGGGTTTATGTCAGGGGAGCATATGATCTAGCTTAAACAAACCCTCGTAGCGTGTTTGTTGGTTAGGATTGGGTCTTTCTAATTATTAATGCAATCTAGAAATTAAATCCTACGGTCGTACCTAGGGTTATTTTTGGGTTAGAGAAATAGCTAACGGTCGTACCTTAGCTATCGAGAAATTAAGGAAGGATTGGTTGTTTATCGCATGCATGACAACTATAACTAATCTATTACTAAATGTTGGAATTATTTCTGCATCAATGATCAGTGCATGAACCATTTCTGAAGTGTACCATTGGCTAGAGTTTTCCCTTAATTATTCCTCTTAATCAATTATTTTCTGCAGTTAATTTATTTAGTTAGCACTTAATCCAAAACCCCCCATACTTTGGACTCTAGAAGAAACGAATTATCCCCAGTCCCTGTGGATTCGACCCTACTCACCGCTGTATACAAAATCTGTATTTTTCTCGAGTAGGTATTTATTATTGCACAGGTTTGACACCCTGCCACTGATCTATGCCGGGTCAACTTCTACTGCCATCCAGCAACACAAACCAGAGCTGATACATTTTTATTTTTATTTTTAACAGAAAATCGAAAACCCAAAAGTGAACAATTTAAAACTAAGGACTTTGAAAATCCAATACATGCATTTGCTTCAAAAAAAAAAAAAAGCCATTTTCCAGAAGCAACAACCATTTCAAAACTAAAATACAACATCTTTCTGAACCCACTATCACATATTACATAACCGAGGACATCATCTTAAAAAAATTTTTGCCCAAAGATTTAAGTGTTGTAGTAAAAAGCTACCGACAAGCAAAAAATACAAGCCACCAAATAGAACGGACAACACTCACTACTTACCCATATACAAATTGAAATCAAACAAGTAAACATACATCATAAAACAGAGTAAAATTCATCCAAGCCAAGAATACAAACCCAAATTCAAATTTGGAAACAATTAATTTTGCAGTAAATTCAAATCGTAAGGTTCTTTATCTCCTACCTTGCCGATGAGGATTTCATTCATGTGAGGTCCATAAACGTCGGAGGTATCAAGAAAAGTGACTCCAAGCTCTCTCTTTCTAGCCAAGTGAGCTCGCTGAGCGGAACCATACCCAGTGAGTGGATCAATCGAAATCGCTGATGAAAGGAAGGGAATAGATCTATTCGAAAGGAAATATGGGTTGAGGTGATCAAAGGGAAATATTGCAGAAACCAGCGTAACGGATGAGCTAGATCATATCTGGCTCGGGTTTTTCGACACTTCCAAGCCTTGGGATGCTCAGCACCGGTGGTAGAGACGCCATTTTTGAGCAATAGTTCTCACTGCTCCGATTCTTCCACTTCTTCGGGCCGATGATTGGAAACAAGATTTGGAGTGAAGATGTTTGAATATAAAGTCTGGATATGAATATAAAGTTTGGAAATGATTTACAGTTCATAGCATGAACTAGGAGGATAACACCGCGCGATGCGCGGTGCAATTTTCAATCTTGCCCATAAATGCCCAGTTATTCAAATTCATATATTAAATATGAAAAAGATTATTAGATGCCTCTCCTCTTATCGCATGGACAAAATGGAAGATTCCAGCTATTATAATGGAAAATAATAGGTACAAAACTTTCTACACTGCAGAAAAGTTCCTTTGTTTCAGCAGCATTTTTAACTATGAATTTCAAACTGTCTTGATCCCATTTATATTCAGATAAACATATGAGCAAATTAAATCCTATCATATGCCAGAAAGTGCAGTAGACTGCTCCAAACCGTTTTCTTCCTAAAGATCTCAGCACAAGCCTAACAAGTGCACCAAACAAGGCAAATGATAGAAGATGCTCAATACATGTTAAGTGAGTGCACACCTACATGCAATAGGCAATAAGTGAGTGAATGCATGCTAAGTGGAGGTAATGACAGAATCTTAGATTAATTAAGATAAGTAACTGCAAAACCTACAAGCAGGAGGCCCTTGGTCATAAACAAATTTAATAAGTGATTAGATGTTAATTAATCATACTTCTTTTCCATTTGATGTTCTAACCACACTCATAGATACACTGACTGCCAAGATCTAGAAAAAGAATGACATCTCAGGTATAGAATGGTGGGAAAAAATCACATTTACCAATTGCCCATGCATGCCCTTGTTTGGTTGCATATAAGAAATCAACTACAGAGAAGATAGGGCCATATCGAAATCACTAAAATAATAACCTTGTACATATTTTTTATATTAACTAAAATTTGACTAATCAGTATTCATATGATTGATAGAACACTTTTAAGTATCAGAAATGAAAAACAGTTGAAGAAAACAAGAGGTTTATATTTTGAGAAAGGATCATTAAATGAGGTACTTTTTTTTCTTGGAAACAACTGTAACAATGAGAATGAATGTACTAAATCTGCATTTTTTTTGCTAAAAAAGTCCCAGATGATAGCTACAAAAAACAATCGAACTAATATCTAAACTAAGATTGAGCACAAAATTAATGTACAGTAGGAAAGTTGCAAATAAAAGATCAAATAGCCAATAAATTCTTCTGATGTCTCAGACCTGTGACAATGCTTCCTGTTCAGCTGAAGGCATTTTCTTCAAAGCTAGTTGTGCAGCATCCTTAAGCTGCAATTTTTTAGTAGGTAAACCATTAGAAAATAAAATGATGGTTACCAATTCCATAATAGTACCATTAAAATGACGTACACTCAAATTTGCCTTCACAGGATTCCACAACGAAGGTAAGTCAGCAGAGAGTTTTTTCACAGAAAGCTCTTGAGGCTTTGCATTCTTGAAAGAGGAATGTTTCAACAGTTTCTCTGCAGTTGGCCTCTTTGTTAAGTCTTTCACCAAGCACATTGCAACCATTTCTTTAAAAGGCTGTTCGAAATTGAGGAAATGCTTTAGCAATAAAAAACATAAGAATGAGGAAATGTAGAAGTAGAAACAAACAAAAAGAATATGGATCCAACTTGGTGACCTAGAAAAAGTTTATATCTAAGTAGACACAAACAGATTGAATGAGGAAATGCAGAAATAGAAACAAACAGATAGAATATGGATCCAACTTGGTGTCCTAGAGAAAGTTTATATCTAAGTAGAAACAAACAGATTGAATGAGGAAACGCAGAAGTAAAAACAAATAGATAGAATATGGATCCAATTTGGTGTCCTAGAAAATGTTTAAATCTAAGCACAGTAGCCAACTATTAAAAGAAAAAGGACATGCCTTGGAGAACTTTTTATCGCGGTCATAATCAAGTCCAGGAGGCGAATTTTGTATGATCATCAAAAGAACCTACCAAAATGAGGAAGTTCCATTAAGTGCACAAATACAATTCAAGAACATGTTGCATCAAGTTCGTTATTGTTATCTGGTGTTGTTGCATATAAAGTCCATACCTTCATTGGGGGATATTTCGAGAATGGTGCATGACCATGAGCCAACTCCAGTGCGGTGATTCCAAATGAGCAGATATCAGTCCTGATACAAAGAAAAATCACTGTTTCTTTCAGAAAACTATGTAACCAAATTATGCACAAAGGCCATTTTAGTGCTTTTGGAATTCATTAGACACAATATTGACTTAATTTCTTTTTTTTCTTTCAGGCTTTCCCTTACCCTCTAATTTGGTGCCCATGACAAGCTCTAGGTTGCAAACTTAAAAGGAAAGTATACTAACAACCTTATAATTCAACTAAAATATATTAGTCACCCTCCTTCTCACTTAAGTGGAGAAAATTGGAGCATTCTATAAGCAACGACCATTCCCAGGGACTGATTTGCCATACACTCAGATTTTCCTTTGCCACTGACTGTAAGCTCTTGTAAAACAAGGGCAATTAATATAATACAAAGCTTAGCCATGCTTGTTTAACATATAAAAACAGCTAAAAAATTTTACAATTAAAATTCTACAGAAATACCAGGTTACTCACTTGAAGTCATAACCACTTTGTGACTGCAACACCTCTGGTGCCATCCTGTGAAGAAACACAGGAAAAACAGCTTAATATTACAAGAAAATAAAGATAATTTCATGGCTGTTAATATGAAAGGTTAAAAGGAAAAGGCTGCTAATAAATACCAGCATGGAGTTCCCACAAAGGTATATAATATTAGAGTAGAAAATTAATGATTCAAACTATAGAAAATAAAGGTCTAAACAAAAGAACAGGAGAAATACACCCACTTTATCACCTCATGTGCACTGATATTGGAGGTGGAAAAAAGGAAGCCCACCATAACCTCTGTGCAGAAGAATTAGTAAGCGTTACCGGCCAAATGATGATACACAAAATACTATAAAATAGAGGAAACTACCTTGAAACAATTTAGAGGCTTTATCACAGAACAATCTCCACTTTTCTTTTTTTAAAACTACAATAGAAGAAGAGATAACATAAGCATATATAGCTCTCGTTTTTTATTAGCAAGTGAAGACCATGAGAAGAGGAAGAGGAAATTCATGGATAGAGGAACAAAGCCTTTCGGTTGAAAGTCAAGAGAGTGGGTTAGAGTGGACAATTTTTTCCCAATTTTAGCTACTATATAACAAATTAATGGTTTTAGCATTCTATCAAACATTTGATAAATAAAATATGATTGTATCATTACAGTACTTTAGAACAAAAAAGGGGGAAAAACAAGAAGAAAAAAAAAAGCAACCCTACGTACAAAAAAACACAAAAGGGACAAACCCATGAAGTACACAAATGAGTCCTAACATCTAGTGAGGATTTATAAATTTTCAATATAAAAGGCTCAAGAAAACATGTCAGAAAACTAAACTTTCCAAGACACAACTAAGAGGATAATAGCTTCATGATAACAAAAATTGAAACTTACATCTAATAGGTCATAAAAACAAATAAATAAATGAAAAAAAATCCAAAGCAATCTCTTTTGCAAAGAAAAAAAATAAAGAAAAGCAGAGTATAAACTGTAATCACATATAAGCGAATAGAAGAAGGCTCACTCAAAATATTCACCAATATTATGCAAAATAGGGTGGGAATAATGTTGATTCATACTACCACATTAGTAGTTTTTTGAGAGAATCAAAGAAAATTCCAATTTTTGGACCTGCAACATCACAAAAATATACAAATTATATAATCAAACATGGGCAAAAAACTTTTTAAATCCTCCAGAAAGAACTTAATCAAATTTGTTAAATGCATTTTGACGTGTCTTTAGTCACGGGGAAAAAAAAGATGGAAATAAGGCAAAAGTAAGGGAGGATACAACAAAAATAAGTCTTTTTTTAGAAAATAACCATATAGAACTTATCTTTTAAGAAAGGGGAAAAAACTTAGAAAAAAGCATGAGAATGGTGGAGGTAATCTGCAAATTTCGTAACTGTGACATCAAAACATCACAAAAGGGGAAAAAAGGAAATTAAAAATGAAAGGGAAAAAAACACAAAAGGCTAGAGAAGCTTTGGAAAAAGAAGGAAAAATAGATTTTGAACTGAAGCAAAAAATCCCAACCAGATCTTTGGTTTTGTTGTTGTCAATCAGAGAAAACGAAGGATAAGAAAGGAAAAGGGACTTCAAAAGGGGGAAAAACTTACAAAATAGCATGACGACGATGGAAAAAATCTCCAAATTTCATACCTGCAACATCGAAATATCACAAAAGAAAAAAAATTAGACGTGGTTTTTTGAAGATCTAAGAAAATCACATCTGTTGATAACAAATCTCGGGAAAGAAAATGGCCATCGAACATAGAAAGATTGCATCCTTTTTTCCTTTCTTATTTATCCAACAGATACCTTGGCCAGAAAAGATTCATTAGGGAGATATAAGGGAAAAAATCCGGAGAAAATGTACAAAAAAAGCAAAAAAAAAAAACCCACAGAGAAAGTGTTCACCTTTAGAGAACAATTTCCACATTTCTTCATGGTTTAGTTGATAGTCTGACCTCTCAACCTGTGACAAAAAATATGAAACTTATCAAAGAATGAGAGAAAATTTAATCAAGGGGGAAAAATGTATACAGAACAAAAATGGAGAAACGGTGGATTTGAGAGGAAGATGAAAACTCAAGAGAGAAGAACAGGAGGAAACCATGAGAAAGAAGCTTCTGGTACATTTTCATACGGCATCAGCGGCATTTCCATATTGGAAGAGAAAATTATGTACCATGAAAATCTCTCTAAATCCAAAGAAAATGAAGAACAATGCGTATGAGGTAGTTCTCTTTTTGTCTAACAAAGAAACAAGAGCAATAGAATAGGGAAAAGAATGCAGTAGATGCACAATTACCACTGTTCATGATGATGCTCAGCAGAAAATCCGCTTCGGAAAACAGAGAAACTCTGTAACCATTGTGCAAATGCAAAACACTAAACATTTACAGATGTCAATCAACAGCAGCAAAAGGAAGCTGATGGTCGACAATGGTGAAAAATGACGGCTTTTTGCAGATTTACAGATATAACCTCAAGTAAAGGAAAAAAAGGCTACAAGGCCTATTGAGTGGAAGCGTAAATGTAGCCACAAAGGATGGGTAATATAGTGAAATAAGATAGGCACTAATTAGCTCAAGTACAGTCACTTGTCGGCAAAAATAGGCTGGTGACAAGTAATGCCTAATGAGGAAGTCGAGAAAGCATGCTTTGGAACTAAACAAACAAAATGCAGGCTTGTTTGTAAAAATCAGTCAATCACATTAGCAATAAGAAGTTTGGTTACGGCAGGAAAAGTAATGACAGAAAAAAATAAGACAAGCATATTTCTTGGCTAATAAGTACATAGAATTGGTAATTAAATGCGATTTTTTGGGTAACAAAAAGTATTAATAATTATAAAAGCCAGTAATTAATTGTGATTTATCTGGCAATAAAACTGCAAAATTAAAATCGAATTAATAAAAAATTAATTGAAAAAAAACTGATAATTAAACTTCATTTGTTGGGCAACCCAAAACTAAAGAAGACATTTTCTTAATGAAATTTGGAAAAAAGGTAAATAGATGTGATTTTTCTAACAAGCACCAAAAAATTTTTTGCTAATAATTGCAAAAAAGTTATGAATTAAATGTGATGTGTTGGATAATAAAAAATGACAGTAACAAAAAATGGCATTATTTATTAGTTATTAACAATTTATTATAAAAAATTGGTAATTAAATGTGATTTATTTGGTAACAAAAAAAGGAACCCAAATAAAAATAGGTAAATAAATAATTATAACAATTAATAGAGGGGAATCGATAATTAAACATGGTGTGTGGCGTGACCAAATAATAAATGACACTAATGGAAGGGCACCACATTGTCGATTGTTTACGTAGAATCAATACCAAATAAAGATTGTCATGAAAATTTGATAATAATAGTTCAATGCCTTCCCCTCTCATTCCAAAATAAATAAATAAATAAATAAATAAAGAGATCGTTGGAAGAAAATCAAATAAAGAGTAAATTTTTCACAATTGGAGCATAACAAAAGTAATTACAAAAAATTGATAATATATAATAATTAATATAGTTGAAGCATAACATAAGTAATTATCACAATAAAAATTAATAGTTAATAATTGCAATTTATCTGGAAACCAAAAGAAAGCACTGATAATTGTAAAGAATTGGGATACCAATTTTTTTGGCAACACAATTTATTGTTGGGAAAGGGCAAAAAAGGGGCCAAATTTTAGCACAATCTCACATGTAATATGTTAACAAGCACTTCCAATCCAATAAAAAGCCAAGAAAAGAAAAAAAAAATCAAAGGTAGGCGGGACCACATTTTAGTGGAAGAATCCAGGCAAACAAAGACACAAGAGAATTGCTAGCTAGACGTCCAAGCAAACAAAGTAGCAAAAGAATCGGCAAAGGTCCAATCCACACGAAAAAAATGGAAAAGAAAAAAAACCAAAGCCACGTGGGACCGGAGCTTAGCGGAACACTTCCCAGCAAACAACAAACAAAGAAACAAAAGGATTGCTTAAACGCCTGAGCAAGCAAACAAAAGAATTCACGCGTGGGAACTGGGAACGGACGACCATCAATTGGAAATTGGCACAGGGGACGACCACAAATCAACCAATGACAACGTGCCACGTCAGCAATTGAAGCCCAATTGAAAATAATGGCATTCCCCAATAGACTAGATACGTTAATAAAGGCAGAAAACAAAGGAGCTGGCATCGGAGTAAGATGAAGAACAAAAGGAGGATAGCAAAAGTAGGCAGCAGGATAGCAAAAGTAGAAGGCTATATGAGTGCAAATGAGCTGGCTGATAGAAATGAGCATCAAATCTCATTAATACTGCAGAACAGTCAATTTCCACTGACATGCTGATGCGGCTAAGGCTTGAAATAAGAGGACATGAGAAATTAAGAGTAGACTCACACACCTATAAGAAATCGAAAAGATGGCTCCCATATTCTCTCCCCATCATAAATGCTTGTGGGCCATTATGCATTTACTTTACATATTTGTCCTCCATTCTTTTATTTCAAGGGAGACAAGTAGTGATACAAGAAATTTTGCACTATTTCAAGGGTATTTTTAAAAATTGAGGGAGGATTGCTGCATACATAGGAAGCATAAATCTGGTGCAGAGGACATAAATGGACAACAAAGCCCTTATGATAAGTATACAAAGGGCAGAAGGGACATATTACCCAGCACAAAAGCAGCAGCCTGTTGTACCAGCTGCAACAAAAAGAACAAGCGGTGGCCTAAAATGACAAAAATGCCCCTGAAAAGAGCAGTTGAAAACCAATGAACAGTAACCACAAACGTCTTCTTATATATTATTACTAGGTAAGCTATCCCGCGCAATGCGCGGGCGCCAGGTTGGTGTATTTAAAAATTGGTGGATTATTTGATGTGTTAGTATGTTTTTGGGATTTTTTCAGAAACTTTGTTTATAGGATATGGTTCTTTTAGCATTATCCTAATTTTTCTTTTTTTTTGAGTTTTTTGTGCATAATTCAGTATTTTTTATGTGTTTTTTTTATTTTGAATTTTGTTCAATGTTCGGATAGTATTTGTATTTTTTATATTATATGATATGATGGTGGGATTTGTTTTTTGGTATTTATATGTGTATAGTTAGTGGTTCTTTGTATATATATCGTTTTTCTTTCTATACACATAAGAAGCACGTGCGGGATGTACTGTTGAGGAAATATGCGGTTGCATAGTTTTGGCAATGCAAAGCATTATGCTCTGGTAAAGAGTAGATATATTCAAAGGGTGAAAATTCATTAATAACCTTGACGGGATGTGATTATTCCGAGAGTTAGTTGGTATATAAATGAGGGCTAGTTAGTTTAAGTTCATTTGGTGAGTGAGTATTTATCAGTCTTCGTTGATTTGCAGGTGGATATATGGCACATAATGATCGAGTGTTTTCAACAGTCCAAGATCTATGTCCGGAGCTGGAGGAGGAGCTCAGTAGGTTGAGTATTGGTTCTGCTAGTGCTTATCCTATGCCAAATTCTTGTCGAAATCGTCCTGCTGAATCTGTAGCTCAATCTCAAGTTACTTATTTGATGCTGAAGAATGAGATTTGTGATTTGTTTAGGGTTTTATATAGGGAGCGAGAGTGGGGACTTGTGCTGGACAGCGGATTGGTTGCTGGGAGGAGGTTGCCAATGTTAGAACTTATAGCTTCGAGAATCAAGTTCGATGTAGCCGAGGAACTGTTGTTCGATGTAGCGATGTGTTATGTAATTTCGCTTGGTTTGGCTTTATTTTTAGTGTACTTGAATAATGCAGTAGTGCTTTGTTTTTATGTATTATTAAATTGAGTAATAAAATAGTGTGAATTTTTGTGAATAAGTGCGAATGAATTGTTTCTTTATTATTAATTGTTTCTTTATTTTTTGCATTTCCTTTTTTTAGTTTGTGCATGTACGTCTGTGCAAGTTCTGTATATAATATGGATAAGGTTTGTTTTTGCGCGACGCGTGTGTAGTGTGCAGTGAATTCGTTTGTTTTTTCTTTGTGGAATCTTTGTGATCCTGTGTGCATGTGATTTTGCGCAGAAGCTTTGGAGCTTTGCGGTATTATATAGTTGATATTGTGCTTTATTGTCTATAAGTAGAGTGTGTAGATTTTTTTTCTTATGGTTGAGCATTATCGTTTAGAAATGGATTATAGTCATAATCGTTTTGGGGTGTTACGTGATTTGCATCCACATGTTGAAGTTTTGTTTAATAGATTGTCATTAGCTGGTGTTGTAGGGAGTTTGGGTGGATGTGATGGACAGAATGCTTCTTTGGCTGGTTCTGATAGAGCTTCAGCGAATCATATTTTACTGCGGAATGAGATATATGGTTTGTTTAAGAAGTTTTATCGTAAATCTAGTAGAGCTGCTGTATTGGATGAAGTTTTGGGAGATATTGGCGAGTTTCCGTTTCTTCAAATAATTGCTCAACGTATGGAGCTTGAGGTTGAAGAGCAGAAGAAAGCTGTTAGAAGTGCTATGGTTTAGTGTGTTTATGTTTTGTTTGTTTTGTATATTTGTTTTGTTGGCTTTAGTTATTATTTTCTGTAGATGTTGGGAATGTTATCTGTTCAAGTATTTTAGTGTGTTTATGTATCTGTTCAAGTATTTGAGTTGAATAAAGAATGTAGATTTTGTACCAGTTTTTATCATGATCATTCCAAGGTTAAGGTTTGTCGGATAAGTAAACTACATGAAACAAAGAGAAAAGGGTAAAGGAGAAACTGAAGGAATTGGGGTAAAATATTCCTGATGCTGACAGAAATCATATGTTCATGTTCTGAAGTTCTTTGTTGGAACTCAGTACTCAAACTAAAAAATATATGTTCAAATTAATAAACAGTTGTTGTTTCCTGCAGTCAAATGGTTTTATGAATAAACTTACGGCACGAAAAAACAGTAGGAGAAAAATATACAAGACATACTTAGGAATTTAAATGGGAGAGATGAGAAAAAAAAAATAATAGCCTGCACAGAAGGGGATTTTGTGAAGCTATGGCATGTAGCCTGGATAGAAGTACATTTTATAAACATAGCATGGATGTAATTTACAGAGTTGCTCTTCAAAAAGCATAGCCTACAGTTTTTTGTAATATACAAAATATTCAAAAGCGTAGGCAAGCTGAGCGAATGATCTGGTTCAGATCTTTAGCTATCTAGCTGCATCAGCGTTATATACAATATTGGACATTGCTAATGATCAGATGTTCAAAAGGTGTATCAAAAGTTTAAGTAAGGATATTACATTCTACTGCTCCATATCAGTCACGTCAGTGCGTTGTCTCTTAGTTGGACTTTCTGTAATTTTGAGAGCTGTGAATAATTCACTGTCAAAAGTTGAGTGTTTTGGGACAGCTTCTGCAGTTGATGGTCCTGGAGTCGAGGAAGCGCATGTGGAGGAAGTAGCAATCGATGCTGGGGTTGTAGGAATCTTTGATATGATTTCTGCAGCATTTGCTTTGTGCACTATTATGGCTGTGTATTTTTCTGTGTCCCCGGATCCACGGTTTCCCATCATTTTTTTCACAAAGCAAGTGAGAATGGTGTTTTCAATAGCTTGTTCAATAGCAATGTAGTTGAGCTGGTGCTGTAATATTGATATTTGAGTATTAGTTGATACAATGTGTTGCAGTTCTTATATAACTGGTGGTTAATAAATTTTAGTGCTGGCGATATACTAACCTTGTCTTCAAGTTCTTGAATTTCAAGTAGAGTGAAGGGCAATAGTTGCTCTGCATCATTGTCATATAGATCAAGTGTGAGCATTCCAGAGTAGTCAGCCAGCTCTATGGTTAATCTGCATCTGCAATTGGGATTAGATATTAGTGCAGTGATGAGTAGTGGAATAAATTATGATATTGTTGTTTTGTTAGTTACCTTGGAACGACATTCACTTGCTTATTGCAGGAAGTGCAGACAATTTTCCAGAGTGGTTTTGCTCTGAATGATTTGTGACAGTTTGAGCATGCATTATACCATAAGTGCTGGCTTCTGTCGAGAAATCGTGGAGTTCCTTGAATCCAGTAAGCTTTTTTCTGAGAACAAAATACATTATCAGCTGCTTGATTCTGTGGCAGATATAAGCAGTAGAGAAGTATGAACGTTAGAGTTGTAGAATCTTACCGTTGGGAATTTTAGGAAGTCTGTGATTGTGCAGAGCTCATCTTCTGAGGGTTGTGGTAGGAGTTTTGCTCGATCACAGTATGCCTTTTGTGCAATGAGCTCAGTAATTTGTGACTTGTTTTCCACAGCCCTTATAAGCAGATGGTGATGATTAGCTATTAAACTATTTTAAAGATATTTGTATGACAATAGTTGGTGGGTTTGTATGAGAGCAAGTGGTTACCATTGTTTCAGTGAGGCACCTTGTTGTATAGGAGGGTTCACCAAAATACTTGAGCCAAACTTTGTTGATAGATTCAGAGCTGGAGCATTATGTGTATTAAAAGATGATGGATTGTATAAAAGATTTAGTTCTAATATTTTGAGATTTACTTACTGTGATAGGATGAGACCTTCACTCGAAGTGCGACAATGAGTGGCATTGATTGAATGATATTTGCAATAGTCTGCCCTTCATCTGTTTCATGCTCACCCCACAAAGTTAGGATGACTGGCATGAAGCTGCAATATAGTTGGTTAGATATTTATGTCGCATTATTGTATATGGATTAAAATGAAGATTGTGTTCTGTGCAAAGCCATTGGTTGATAAATCATGCAAGTTACCTGTTATCTATGATGACAATTTCTCTGGTTGGGGTAGGGCCTCTGTGATTTCGTGGATGAACTTGTGCAACAATGCCAAGGGTATCTGTTTTTGTCATTTATTAGAGGTAAACTAAATAGTCATGTATTGAGTATTATAAAGCTGAATTTAACTCCTGTGCATTACCTATGTCTGAAGTGTCATCAATATGTTGATAGAATCTTCTGAAAGGTGTGAATGTGAAAACATAGGGAATTTCTGGAGGGCTTGCTTCATCGATTGCTTGGACAATGGTAGAGTTGTCAATATACCAGGTGCATTGATTTTCATGTGCACGGTATTCCAGCGGAGTGTATTCAACTCTTGCATTGGATATCATGTAACGTTTGTACAAGTTGAAGTGGTTGCGGAAGAATTCTATATCTGACTTGTATATCATAGCTTCCACTGTAATTCCCTATACATGAAATTTGGTTTTGATTAGAATGCGAAAGTGTACAGTGAGATATAATAATTCTGTGACAGAATTTATTCATGTGTTTACCTGGTTATCAATCAGAGTAAGCTTCTGATAACGATTTCCTGCTTTTGATAGTAGAGGTTTCTGCTTGTCAAGGACTTGGGCTATCGTTGTCCAGTATTGAAGTCCGGGAACGATTTCAGCAAAACCTATCACTTTTCTGTCATCCTGTAATTCAGAAGAGCAAGTAATGGGTAGTTTCTGAGCAGAAATATGAGAACAGAATTCTTAATGTATGCTATAGAACCATATGCGCATGAATAGATAAGAAAGTTATTCATTTGCCAAATCTAATACTTCTCTATATACTACATTATGTGTTATTGAGTCTTCTCCAGTGCTAAATATAGCTGGTTTGATCAGAATTTTTATTGAACTCTTGTTCTTAGCTCTTGACATTGCTACATATAACTGGCCGTGTGAAAAAACTGGTTCACGTAAATATATTCCCACAAAATCTAGAGTCTGCCCTTGAGCTTTATTGATAGTCATAGCGAAGCATGGTCGAATAGGAAATTGTATTCTTTCAAAAGATACTGGCGACTCTGGATCATTTTCTATTCTGAAGCAGATTCTGTGAAGGAAGACTTCCTTGCCAGTGAATTCTCCACAACTTATTGTAGCATATATGACATTGGACTTTAAGGATTTGCAGATGAGCCTTGTTCCATTGCATAGTCCTTGGGGCGGATCAATATTTCTGAGGAGCATAATTGGAGTGTTTGGCTTGAGAATCAATTTGTGAGGTGGAAATCCATTTGGTGTTAGGGCATTTATGAAGTCCTCCATGATTGTTTGGTCAGAATCTTCAATACATTTGTCTCGGCTAATGTATTCTTGAATGCAACCAGGCATATCGTGTATGAGCTGCTGATTAATCTGATCAACAAACTCATTTTTTGTTGTGAGTATAGCACGATTTACAGCTGAGAAATCATGATGAGAGAATATTGACAAATCTGGGAATACCGTGGTAGTCAACTGTTTGATTGAATCTTCATCATTTGTATATCTTATCAGCATTGATGGAGGTATTTGTATGCAGTCGTTGTTGACAGTAGGCTCTGTTCCATTTCCAACACGAAGCAAATATTCAATGAATTCTGGATCATCCCTTGCTCTCATGTTTTCTGTAAGTTGAAGCTTATGAAGGTGTGGCCATATATATGAGTTGACTATGCTGGCATCAATGAATTCTGATTTTGTTCCTTTAGGAACAACTGGTAATACCTGTCGAAAATCTCCTCCGAAAACGATCACTTTAGATCCAAATAAGGCATTTGAGTCCATTAGATCCTGGAGTAATCTATCAACAGCTTCTATTGAACCTTTATTTATCATCGGAGCTTCATCCCAAATTATAAGACTGGCTTTTTGCAGAAGTTCTGCCGACGAACTTTGCTTGCTGATTCTGCAATTCTTATTTTTTGTTGTATCTAATGGTATGTTAAATCTTGAGTGAGCTGTTCTCCCACCGGGCAATATTGAAGCTGCTACTCCGTATGATGCTGTAGCCAGCGCAATGAATCCTTTGGATCTTGCCTCAGCTAATAATGCTCGATAAAGGAAAGTTTTTCCGGTTCCACCTGGACCATCAACAAAAAAGCATCCATGTTTCTTTTGGAAGACTGCATGAGTGATTATATCAAAGGCAGTTTTCTGATCATTGTTTAATAGATCAATTTTTTGCAGATCAGACTCTAGCACAGTGATTCTTGTCTCTGCTATTGTGTCCCTCGTGCTCTTGTTGAGATCATTAAAATTTAAAAGATATGGAACCAGGGCATATGAGTTAATATCTCTTCCCATAGATTCAAGAAAATTGTTTATCTGTTCTAGAACCTTGTATCGTGTTTCATCAGTTGATATATCTGGTATTTTCATGAAATCTTCTGATAGACAATGTTCAAATTTCTCCCATAGCTTTCTAGCATTTAATGGAGAAAAGTGTACCAACAAAGTTGCAAACAGCCTTCTCAATATGTATGGCATTTGATATGAACTGGCTTCTTCGAGGCATTCTTCTTGCGATGTATCTGATTCAAAGTATCCTCTGAGAATTGCTGCTTCACGGAATGTGTTTACGTATGTTCCATTCACTGTCTTGAGGTCTTCAAATGATTTGAGGCCTTTCACATGTGTTAGAAGTAGTCGAAGAAAATAACGTTCTCCTTCTTTTATACCTGCTGTGACAATTCTGCCAATACAGTCCTTTTGCTTTCTAGGTTCCCATTTTTTTCTTCCGGGGTACCAAACGAAGTGCTCTGGGAATTCTTTGTATGTGCACTTAAGATCCTGAGCTAACTCATCCACAGAATTCATGTAAAAGAATTCAGTTAACATAGTTCTTTTTGTATACTTGTTGCTGATTACATCTCGTAGGTCTTGATCAGGTGTGAAACTCATGGACTGACAGTTTTGTAGATGGAGCTGGAGATGAATTACAGAAGGGTGGATCTCACTGAGGTTAAATCTGTACACTCTCCAAATTGCTTCAACTGCACACACCCATCGAGCTGATTGGAAGTCCTTTATTTCATCGATTGGAAGAGGTTGGGAGCTATTATTGTCTTGAGCAGGAGCATCTGAGTTTACTCTAAAATGAATCCTATCATGACCCTTGTATATATATTTGTATATATATTTGACAGCTTTCACAGTGGAACAGATTTCAACATTTATGTGGCAATCAAATTTTGCCAATAAGTATCTGTTGTGTGGAACTATCCATCTGTTATCAAGCTGATGGCCACGAACAATTATTTTCTGTCCATCATTTCTCCTTCGATAAGTAGGATACGCATTCTTTCCATGAAAGGTTGTCTGAGCAAATGATTTTGGGTAATTATTTCTGCATCTTTTCTTCTGATTTCCTTGCATACAAACATTATATGGATTTTGTGCTCCGCAAGGACCGTGGATCATGTGCTTTCGAACCATTCTGAATAAATGTTGATTTGCTGTTATATCTGGAATTTCTGCACTGACGATTTTATCATAGGATTCTGTGGAATAAAGTTTTGAACCTGGCTCTAAAATTATGAGGAAATGAGTATGCGGTAGACCACGTTTCTGAAACTCAACAACATAGGTATAAGCTGCTACTGCTCCAAATATTTGTTTCTTGAAGAGTTGGTCCTTCAAAAGATCAAGCTTAGCATGGAAAACTCGAGCGAGTAAGTCTGGTCTGTTATGACCTTCATCAGTAGGTAGCATGTGTTTTTTCATCTCAGGCCATGAAGGATTGCATGTCATAGTGATAAATAAATCTGGTTTGCCGAATTTTTGCACGAGAGCCATAGCATCAACATATCTTCTTCTCATGTCGCGAGGACCACCTATGAATGATGCTGGAAGAATAACTCGCTGACCTATTTTGGATCCTTGGCAATGTCCTGACATGACACTGTCCATTATGCCTTGAAGTTCCTCTCTTCTTATTAACTGTTGTCGGCTTCTGTAATAATCAAGTCTCTGAGATTCTATCTTGATGTACATATCGATGACATATTGTTGAAGTAGTCGGCCGGTATTGAGTATGCCTGGAGTGTATTTTTCCCGCATCTGCAACTTGTATGCGTAATACTCACGCATAGATACAAACTCTTTATTGTTTTCAGGATTGTGAGAAGCTGTAGAACATGTTATTCAATATCAATCTAATGATATAGTAACTGTATACTGAGGAATATAATTATTGACTATAATTTTTGCTATACCTTGGTGTTCAGCTGCTATTAGTTCTTCTGCAGATTTGCAATCAGTAGAAGCAGGAGTGCAGTTGGCTGTTCTATTGTATCTTTTCCTTTTGTTTGGATTATGTGGTGGTGTTCTTTTTATACCAGGATGCCATCCTGTCTCTCCAAATGGAAACAGCAGCGGATACTGCAATGGATCATAGCATCCATAATAGTAGTGCACCAGATGATCCTTGCCTTCTTTAGTATAGATTTGGATATGCCTTTTGTATCCTTCTCCAGATTCTTGGCCCTCTACCCACAAGGCTGCAATTTGAGATGCAGTTGGTTGATTCCAAACTCTCTGGTCATTTTCTGAATGAGACTTTAAGACGATTTGATATGAGTCGAGATTCGGAACATTTTTTAAGCTTCGGAGAAAAGAGGCATATGGATTCAATTCCATGACATGCATAATTTTTTTCACTGCACTTTCTGTTAGGTTCTCTGATGTAGCCAGTCTGTTTTCTAACTCATGCTCTGTATCATGAAAATATAGCTGCAAATAAACAGTCCTGCACTCATGTGGAATAAGATCCTTGATGAAGTGATAGGTTTGTCCCTGGACTTTGAATGTGTAGATACCATTAGTTCTCCTGCATAGGGATCTGTCATAATGTACTCCGAAAGAGGTGAAGGCAAACATATTATTATATGTTCTGACATATGTTCTGAAAGAAAGAGCTTCAGCAGAATGACCAGTATATAGTTCTATGAGAATATCTTGAAGTTTGTTCTCTTGGAGAACTATCTGACCAGCAGAACAGCAGAAATTTGGTGTTTCAGAATAAAGTTTTTTTGCTTCGCAATAGCTGCAATCTGGTTTGGGAGCCAGTATGTCTGGTTCACTGCTGATGCATTTCAGTGCTTCAATTCCATCTGGAACTTTTTCACCTACAGTACAATGAATGTGATAGTAATTGTTGAATACAAAAAAAAGAATGACAAAAAAGTTTTGAATGTATATCATGTTACATTCATAAGAGTTTTTGTTTTTGTACCTCTGGTGTGAGATTTCTGAGTTTTTCTTGACCTTGAACGTTTGTTGCCTGTGTGGATATTAACAGAACGTAATTAACTCTAATATACAGAGGTTTAATCTAATGCTCATTAGATAATGAAAATTAATAACTGAGGTTGTATCTGTACCTTTATGTGTTTTAGCAATAGATTTTAAGCATTGTTGGCTCATTTGATATTCTGTTGCAAATGCTAACAATTCTAGAAAGCCAAAGTTGTGCAATCAATGGTATTATAAAGAAAAGAAATGTATGTAGAAGTTGAATACGGATCAGTAGAATCTTGTAGATCTAAAGTTGTAGCAGTGCTGAGTACCTGGAGCATCTTCTATGTTTTGGGGAAGAAATTTGAAGCAGTTCATACACATGAAAGATTCAGCTGTTGACGCAATGTAAATAAATGATAGTGGAAGAGTGAGATGAACATGGTAAAGCATCATATATTGAACAGTATATTTTTGTGCTGAAAGTAATTTGAAAGAATTAAACAACAAGTTATTTGCAGTAGTTTCAGACCTTTGTCATGCGGTGGAGCACTATCTGAGCATATATGCTTATGGTTGGTGGCTGAAGAATTACCTAGGTTTTAGAAAATTGAGAAAAGCACAGTTATGTAGCTGAAATAAGAATTGTTATAGAACCAATTATATTTACATGAAAATGATAGAAATGAATACCTTCTTCATAAGTAGAAAAGCAGAAGAGACTACTTTTGAGCTTTGATCCAGGGTAGGATACACAGAATCGATTATCTGTGGCATAGAAAAAAGTAAATGGATGATCATATTAAAAAATAAGAAATATATTATTATAATAATTTTGGGTATCAAGAACAATTTGTAAATGCAAATAACAATTTGTATGTGTATCATGTGGAAGAGAAACAGGATATTTTCAAGCTTAAGTGTGGAGAAACCAGTATGATGCATTTGTAAAGCTAAGAGTAAGGAAAAAAATAGAAAATATGGAAAACATTGTTACTGTGATATTGATGCAGAGGGGTATTTTGTTGAAGTTTACCAGTGTTAGTCTGATTCTTGGAGCCAGGTAATTGAAGGTTAGAAGAAAGAGCTCCAATGGCATTTCTATCAGATGTTCGAGCAAGCGTACTTTTATTATATTTTCCAACTGCAATTTTTGATGCTTTAAACGTCAATATAAGTATAACAACAGAAATGGAATGTTTAGGAGATAAAAAATGAATAGGAATGCAATAATATGAGAAAAATAGGTGGCTAAAGCTCAAAATACATACCTGTGTCATGAAGATGCTGTTGAATTAACTGTGGCATCAGCACTCCTGTGTATAGTAATAAATATTTCCATGGTTTCATATTTTTAGTCACAAAAACTACAAACTAAAAATGTTTGTAAGCTTTGTCCTGGAGTATATACGTACCATTATTATCATTGTTGGTACTGGATGGTCTGAGAAATGGTTTGATGTTGCACTGTTTGGTAGGTTGTACAGATTGTGGATCAAGCGTCTTGGACAACAGTTTGCTCATCTTTCTTCTGTGATACGCTTCTCTATTTTTTCTTCGATGAGCTTCCTTTTGTTCGACAGAAAGACCAGCAAATTTTTCTCTGTTTTTTTTATTCCTCTCATTTTTTTTCTCACGAATTTTGAGATCATCGTTTTGTGCATATAACTCAGAGGAATTCATGATGCTTGTTAGTTAATGCAACTGATTTTTATTGTCCATATAAGCATGCAGGGAAGAGAGCACAGTTCGTTGGATGAAATAAGTAAACCATACCAGAGCAGAAACTACAAAAGTGGTTACAAAATACTTTGAATAAACTGAATAAACTTAAGAGTATGTTAAAGGAGCTAGTGAAGGAATACCTCCATCGGTAGTCAAGGCACAGAGTTCTGAAGCAGACCTGTCGCAAGCTAAAAAAAAAATCTGAAGTCACTAAACACAGATCTTTTTATCTATCAATAAGGAAATGAGTAGAACAAAACATCAGAATGATATCAGAAGATAGTAAAAAAAAATTTGTGAAACAACTAACATTGCAGTACCTGGTGTTTGAGGTATTTAGTTGAAGAGAATTGGTAAGGAGATTCTCATACAATCTGGAAAGCAGAGCATATAAAAGACGTTGCATGAAGACCATGTGTATATTTGGTACAGAAGAAAATGCAGTGGTCGACAGCTAAGTAAAGATTAGCATCAGGTCATAATAAAAAGTCCCTTCTGTCCTTTTTCAGATTCATAGCATAGATATTAAGCAGCTAGATATCAGGGTTTGCATCGTAAAATTGAAAAAGTATTTGAGTTCAAATCATGCATATCTATTTCTGTGAGATCACAATTATCTATGTATTTGCATAAGTTGTACTTCTTCATGCACACGTGTTTGTACATTTTTAACATATATAAAAGTGGGACTTATCTACAATCACATTTATCTATGTACTTATATTTGATTTATATGCATCTACTATATACTTATTATATTGATTAAAGATTATTATTCATATACTTATATTATATATATTGATTATTATTCACATACACAAATATATAAACGTATACATAAATTCAATCTAAAATAATAATAATTACTTTTAAGAGTGTTTTTGAAAAAAATTATAAGAATGTTTTTACAAAGTATTGAAAATAAAATAGTTTGTAGAATATGTTTACAAATATTTTTTTAAAACTTAAAAAAATGGAAACTAATTTTTAGATAATTGCAATGTATAATTGTAATTATCCATGTACTTATTGTATTGATATACAGATAAAAATATATATGAATCCCATTTGAATCAGTTATTTTTGGCAGTGTTTTCAAAAATTTTTGATAGAATATTTTTAAGAAGTATTCAGACATAAATATGTTTACAAATATTTTTTTAAAATTAAAAAAATATCAAACGAATTTTTAGATAATTGTGATCTATAATTGTAATTATCCATGTACTTATTAATATATACAAATCTATATAAAAAGATATATGAATCCCATTTAAATAAGTTATTTTTGACAGTGTTTTCAAAAATTTGTGATAGAATATATTTTTAAGAAGTATTCAGACATATGAAAATGAAACTTATTTCGCGCGTGATGAATGCCCATTTCAATAAATGTACAAGAGTTTTGAAGCAAAGACACAAAGTGCTTCTTGAAAGCGTCAGAACAAAAAACAATCCAAATTCGTCCGTGCTGATTGCCCAGTTCAATGAATGTACAAGAGTTTGAAGCAAAGAGCAGCAGCCGAAAGTACAAGCCGCGGAAGCAGAGTTGCGGTTGAAAAAAGCACCACTGTAGAAAGACAAAGTGCTTCTTATGTATATGTAAGGATATATGTAAGGATATATAATAAGGATATTACTGAGATAAAATTGATAAATGAGTAGTAAAAAGGAGAAAACGACGCCGCCCGGACCTGACCCCCTTGTTGTTAAAGCTTATCCATGCGAATGCTTTTGCAGAGCCTCTTCCTGCTGATTCATATGGTTCATACACCGCACTGTTCCAAGTCCCCCACACCAAGAAATAAAGAGGCCATGAAAGCATTATTGAAAGGGCGTCTCTCAGCCTCCAAGTTCCAACTAGATGATTAATGAAAAAACTACAAGAACATCCAGCGAAATTATAATATAGGTGACGTATTTTTTTTTTTTTGTCCCCAACAAGAATATTGAACTACTACTATGCTCTGCTCTTTCTTTCTTTTTTTTGGGTACAATTGCACTATAAATCCGTAACTTTAATTGTTCGTCATTTAATATCTTTAATACTAGTAGTTTTAATATGATTTATTTTAGTCTTCAGCAATATAATAGTAATTTTATTAATACTATACCAGATTAATTAATTTATATAATCGTACGTCACCATAAAGAATTTAAAAACATTTTAATAATCGTCTCTTCATTCTTACAGTACTCCAAAACCCTTTCCTCTTTATTCTATGAAAACCCTTTGTAAACAGCGGCCCTAGCTTCTCACTTTTCAACCCATGCCCTTGATGAACCTCTCCAACTGACTCATCTTTGCATAATTCATTAAAAACAAATCGCCCCAAATACCCAATGTTCCATGCATATTTCTTTGCCAAAAGCAAACCTAAAGTTCCAAAGTTGAAAGCGGTCTTCCCAGGACAAACAAAGAAAGTAAGGAAGAGGCAACCATTTCCTATTTTTTCTTGCTTTTTTTGGTCATAAAAAAATTGCTGCAGGCTGCCAGGGAAAACATTTACGAAAAAAAAGGGCTGTCAGGCTTTTTTTTGTAGCTTCCCACTTTGCAATTTGCAAAAAAAAAAAAAAAAAAAAAAAATAGCTCTCTAGTGATCGCAACAGTTACAGTTTTTTTTGATAAAATATAATAATTTCATTAAAATCTGCATTAATAACAAAAATTACATCATTAAAAATACATAAATATCAAAAAACAGATATAAAGAAAGGATACTTCAATTATAGTTTTAGAACCACCTCTGTCAAATCAATAATTGTCGATTTTTTTTTTGTACAGCAATAATCTAGAATTAGCCTGATCGGGCCAAATCAAGACGTATGAGCTCTGATTTGCCTGTTTGTGGTGGATACATCCAATTGACTTCGAACTTGTACCAATAGATAATAATAAAATATATAACCGCGTGATTCACGAGTTGACAGTGGACTGAGTGTGTTGAGCGGTGGTTGTACCTCTTGATTGCATGATTCTGACTGTAGATCTCTTTGACTTGGATACGATCTTATTAGAATAGTTTTGATTCTATTAGAGGTGTCAAAATGTGATTTGGACTGATTTGTATGGGTCATAAATAGATAATGGGTATAATTAGATCAATTTATTTATATTTATTTAATAAATGGGTCAGAATTGATTAATCCATTTATATCTATTAATTCAATAGATGGGTATGGGTATTACCCAATTATATATTTATGACCCGTTTAAAATTTTCTTGATCTATATTTTCAGATGTTGTTTAAAATGGAATAATGACATTTATTATTATTCGGTTGATAAGAAATTCAAATTTATCTGCTGAACATTCACCAAAATTTAGTTTAAATATTCAATTATTTTTAAATGGGTATAAATGGATAATGCAAGCCTATCTATTATGCACCAATTAAATGGGTTGAATTGAGTCTCCATTCAATCACATTTCAAAATGGGTATAAATTAGATAACATTAACTTTTTATGCACTGACAGTGTAGTGATTTTTTTCACAGTAGTAGTTTTAAATATATGCCATATATCCATTATTTGAATTTCAATTTTGAATTCATATTATGCGAGATGATCTATCTGCTTATGTAACAGAATCTTTGCACTAACAATGCATAAAATAAGTTATCCTTTAAAATATAAATAACATTGACATGTCAAATTCATATGTTATAGGGTATCTGTATTAACCCCCCTTCCTCCTCCTCCTTCCTAAAAGAATCAGTATACCACGGATCGTAACTGTACGCTTTCAAACAAAAAATTGTATACTTAGTTTTTACTGCCTTGCTGAGGTCTCATATAACTATTTAGGCTCCAAAAGACCTAGCTTTGGATAGAGTGCAAGAAGATACAGCACTTTATTATATATTGAGTAATACCAACGGATTTGATAAGGTCTTAATTTGTCCTGGTAGCGTGAAAACACCACGTTCTGTTTTTCAACTTTATATTTCCAGCTTTTTTGTTTTAAAAAAAAAAACTTTATATTTCCTGATACAAGATTAGGACAGCTAGCGTGGGACTTATATTTGTACTCATTGGAAAACTTTAATTTATTAACTCTATGGTTGTCCGTCTGCTTAATTTTGATAACGATGGCTTCTTGGCATTGATTCCTCAACAACCGTTTATTTATTTCTAAGCTCTGAGTTGGCTGGCCCTGTTTCTGTGTAAAACAATTTGTTATGCACAATAATGGTTTCTGGATGTCGTTTCTTACATTTTCTTCTGATCAGCAGATAGAGGGAAAATCGGGGACGGACAATTTGCTGCGATCCCCAGCTAAAGCTTATCTCGTAGAATATTTGTGGTCACGTGTCAAAGCTCAAACTCCAATATTTTGTTTTCGAAGGTTCGACGAGTCTAATCAAATTTTTTACAATATATTTTTAATTTTTATATTTATTATTATGAAATGTCAATAATATCTTTTATTCAAAATTATATGTAAAATATTAATTTTTATTACGGGAGGTTGATTAGATTCGAATAGACTTGATTAAACTCGATTGTACTCCAATAGACTAGATCGAGTTTCACTTAATTCGATTAGATTTAATTAAACTTGAATTCGAGTTCGAATTCGAATTCAGTAAACCAAAGTTGAGTTTGAACTCGAGTTCGAATAGTGCACTACTCGAATTCGATTCGATTCAAATGTACCCCTAATCAGAACTAATGATTTCACGTGGTCGGGCCAACCAAAACCTCATCAAATCTGAAATATCCATCTTATACTCAATCTCACACAATAATGGTTTCTTGGATGTCGATTCTTACATTTCTTCTGAGCTCTGATT